AACGTCCTTTCGTCCTTTTCTAGAAGATTTGCCCTCAGGTGCAATAATCTGGGCAAAGCCCTGTGATTCCAAGCGGGGCCGGCCCAGGCTGTGTGTGCTGTGCCCACATCACGGGGCCTTGAGAGCCCCAGTCCCACTGAGACGGGGCCAAGGTGTCCCAGTGTCGTGCTCAGCCCTCGCCTTGGAGCCACACCCCGGGAAAGAACCGGCAACGTACCCCAAAGTCTCTCGGCCATTCCAAGGCCTCTGGTTCTTTTCATTCTGCCAATTCTGAGGCACTGGTTTCCCACTTTCCCTCAGCTCTGGTGGAAGGAACAGTTGGAGACAATGCCCTTTGTTCCTCCCAGGAACACAGTTGCGGGCTGGGAGGGCCCCCCAGGCAAAAAGGCACCAGCAAGGAGCTTTTTGGCTTAATACAAAGAAAATAAAATATATCAAATTGAGAACTCTTATTATTACAGAGACATATTAACAAAGAGAAACAGCATAAAATTGCCACAGAACACTAAACATCCAGCACAGAGAGCAGCTTTTATCCACTTGCTGAGGGTTTATGTGGGTGCAGAGATTTTCTCTGTGAGTCACAAGCACAGGGTCCCTCTGCTGCCCCAGGGAATGAGCTGGGGGCGAGCAGGCACCACTGGGCATGGGGAGGCTTCAACCCACCTGGAGGGGCTGGAGCACCCTGCCTGGTCCAGGTCTGGAGACAGGTAGAGCACAGACACCTCTCTGTAATCCCAGGATTCTGCCTGAACATGCTAGGACACTTTGTGCAGTCAAAGAGGGCAGAAACAAAGGACATTCCATCGTTCCCCAAGAGCAAACACCATCCCTGCCTAACCACAGGCAGCCACAGGAAACCTGGAGGAGCCAATACCGACAGCAGTCTATTCCAGTATGTGCTCTGTGCATGCCATGAAAGGGAGGACCTTTGCAAACTGGGCAGCACTCAGCCAGAAAAATAATTAAATTAGAAGTTTCTACTAAATTGGTACATTCTGACTCATTACTTGAAGAGCATTCAGTGCCTCAGTGTGCAACTAGAGAGGACTCTCTCAGAGCATCACACTAAATAAATACCTTTAGAGACAGAAAATGGGCCACACCTTTATTTTACATAGATACAGATATCTTTAGCATATATTATTGAAACATCCAAGGTGAGAGCTCAGTAAGGGGAGGGACCTCACGAGGACTGTGAGGGCAGCAGCTCTCGGACTGCCCTGGAGGCTGGTGACCCCTGGGATACCCCTCAGCATCCCTACAGAGCAGGGTGATGGCCCCCCGGCCCCACAGGGCTCGGAGCAGTCAGTGGTCCTGCAGGGTTTGCCTCCCTGGCTGAGCCCAATGGCTGTGACTAAGGGCCCTGTTCCCTGAGCTGAGCACAAAGAGCCTCTTGAACATTATGGCAACAGCACATGGATGCTGCCAGTTCTCCACTCATCCACGGTCTCTCTGAGTGGAGAGTCACTGCCCCAGCTCTCGCTCCTGCTGAGCTGAGCTCCCTGCTGAGGCAGGGGGTGCTGGCAGGAACCTGACAGGCTCAGGAGGGCACAGGTTTGCCTTGGGAATGCCACGTGCCATTGCACCACCTGATCCCACCTTCTGGCATGACACAGGACTAAGGAAGAGTCTCTCCCACCTTCACTAAAGGCAGCATCCCTTATTCTGCACCCTCTGTCATGGAATTGGGCCCATCCACGTACAACGCTGCTCTCAGGGAGATGCCAAGTGTGTGTCCCTTGACTCCATCTGCTGCCTTGGGTAGGAGCTGATGGTCTGAACTCTGACTCAGACTGAGCCGGCCCAAAAGCCCCCACACCTCTGAGATGAGCCAGAGCAGACCAGAGAGTCTGCAGGGGAACATGGATGTGGTTGGCTCCCAGCTGCAACACCAAGGGGGTCCCTGCTCCAGGGCTTGGCCACCCTGAGAGGAGCCTCAGGGACAGCTTCTGTGGGACTGTGAACACACTGAAATTCTCTTTGCTTTATTAAAGCGAAAGTGGACAAGAAAATGCAGAGGAAAACACACAGATTCATGGCAGGAGCTGGACTTTGGTATTTCTTAGGTCTTTTCTTCTCCAGTTCCTGCAGCAGCCCGAGAAAATCCAGGTGGAAACAGTGTTCATTCCCCCAGCAAACACACACACAGGTGCTGCAGGTCCTGGCTCCCACATCTCCTGGTAACTATAAGAACCCAACTTCTGAATGAAAAAGTTCAAACTGTGGTGCTGAAGAAAGAAAGAACATGACCCCAGTGCCCCCACCTGCCCACCTGCCCTGGGCTGGGGGTGCTGCCCATGACCTGCTGTCCTGCTCAGCACCCGCCGGCCAGAGCAGCTGCACACACGTGGTGACACACGTGGGGCAGGTGACATATGAGGGCAGGTGACACATCTGGGGCAGGTGACACATCTGGGGCAGGTTACACATGTGGGGCAGGTGACATATGAGGGCAGGTGACACATGAGGGCAGGTGACACATGAGGGCAGGTGACACACCTGGGGCAGGTGACACAGGGGCAGTATCATCCTCCCATTCCCCATCACCACTTTTCATTCACATGGTGCTTCCACCAGCCAAGCAGGATGGGCAAATCCCTGTCAGGTTTGGTTTCTTCCCGGTCTCCCAGCAGAAGGACACCTCCACACTCATTAACCAAGAGAACCTTCCCTGACGTGAGCCTGTGCTAAGCACAAAGCTCTCCCAAGAAGCTGCTCCAACTGCTCAGAGCCATCCTGAGCTGATGACAGGGATCAGGCATCACCACCCATCTGCTCACTGAGGGCCTGGGAATGTTCCAGAAGACAGGGATGCACGAGCAGGATTTTTTTACCGTTTCATTTGCACATATCCGTAGCTCACACGAGCACTGGGCTGGCAGCCCTCTGGCCTGGGGGAGCCTCCAAGAGCAGCATCTTGCTGGCTGCCAGCCAGGACATTCATCCATGATTCTGTTGCCACCTACATGAGGGGTTTCAGCAGGACAAGTGGGATCAGAGCTGTATCTAGCAGGGGAAGGAAATCCATTGCAAACACTTGAAGAAAAATCCTTCCCTTCAATAGGGTTTTTTCCCCTACTCCTTCCCTTAATGAAAATCCCATCAAAAGGTTGGAAAGTATCAGGAAAATTGTTTGTTTTACTGTGAGTTTGCAAAGGAGCAGCTGCACCACAAGGACATTGCCTGGAGAGCTGGGCACAGGGCTCCGGGGGGGGCACAGGGACCCGAGTGGGCACAGGGACACGGGGGGATCAGGGCTATGAGTGGGCTCAGGGCTCCTGGTGAGCACAGGGATCTGGGTGAGCACAGGGCTCTGGGGGGCTCGGTGCCCTGGGTGGGCTCATGGTTTGCTGTTCGCCTGTGCTGGCACAAGGAGCCCTTGGAGATGTCTGTGTTGGTAACACCAGACTGTGTCACAGCCCACGTGGGATGTGTGACCCTGGCACGAGCCTGTACGTGCCTTGGTCACTGACAGCCCTGGCAGGGCTGAGCAGGGGGTTTGGTGGGCTTGGGGTGTGCAGGAAGGGGGAGCTGGAATACTGCAGGGAATGCTGGTGTGGCCACTGTGTGTGTGCTGGGGACAGGGGGTGCATGTGGGGTGGGGGTGGGGGGGTGTGCATGTGTCTGTGTGACAGTGTCTGTGGGATAGTGTGTGTGTGACAGTGTGTGTGTGACTGTGTGTGTGTGACAGTGTGTGTGTGACAGTGTGTGTGTGACCGTGTGTGTGTGACTGTGTGTGTGACTGTGTGTGTGACCGTGTGTGTGTGACAGTGTGTGGCTCTGTGTGTGTGTGTGTGTGACTGTGTGTGTGGCACCATGTACATGGGACAGTAAGTACATGAGGGTTGGTTCTTCCTTTCCAGCCCTCCAAAGCACCGTGGTGGCATCGGCCAGTTCCCACAGCCACTTCCCCACAGATGGGATTCATGGAGGAGTCCCGTGGCTCCACAGGTCCCACAGATCCTGGCCCCCTCTTGGCTCCACGGCATTGCAAACAAGAGCTGGGACAAACGAAGGGAAGGAGCACAGCTGGAATCCGGGGTCTGCGGAGAGCGGCAGCAGCAGAGTGGGCGTGGGGCTGGGCAGGGGCTGCAGAGGCCCAGGGTGGCCAGGCAGGTGGGAACTCCAAGGGCATCAGGCACTTCTGGAGGTGGGTTTGGCTTTGTCAGGGAGCAGCAGCTGGCAAGGATGGGAACATTGACTGCTGAGCACCGGGGGGCCTGCAGGGCAGACTGAGACCCAGATAGGCTGTAGCACAAACATCCTAGGTGGAAAACAGGAGCCAGCTGCCATTGGGGGCTTTCCAAGGTCATCTTCCTCAGCAGCCCTTGGCTGCAGCCCATCCGCTCCGTCGCCCGTGTCCTGGTGGCGCAGGCGGGTCCCAGGGCCGGGCTGGCCGGACACATCCCACGGGTCCCGGGGTCGGGCTGGTTGGACACATCCTGTGGGTCCCGGGGCCGGGCTGGTTGGACACATCCTGTGGGTCCCAGGGCCGGGCTGGCCGGACACATCCCACGGCGGCCCCGGGGCCTGGGAACTCCTCGGCCGCAAATTCACCTCATCCCCCAGCTCTGCTCTGCTTCTCTGCTGCAATGTTTGAACTCATCTGCTTCCCAGTGCCATAATGCAAACAAAACATCCCGAAGGAGGCCGGTAACATCACCCACAACCAAACGTGGAGCTGCAACCTGCTTCTCATCATGTTCTGCGTATAGAAAACACCCCAAACCCACCAAGTACTGGCACTTCTCCCACTCTTCTGTGGCCCTGGGCCGCTGGAGTCACGGTGACAAACACAGAGACGAGAGAGAGCAGGCGGGGTCCTGCTGCTCCATGCCAGTCCCTGTCCATCACCACAAGCAGCCAGAGCTGGGCAGAGGCCGAGGCCAGGTGTTCAGTTCAGAGGTACCTCAGGAAAATAGAAATTTCAGGAATCCCAGCAGGTCTGTCACTGCCTGTCCCCTCGGCCACCACCGCAGAGGGATTCCCCAAGGCACTGCAGGACAGTAGTGCAGAAATAACAGGCAGGAGATGGCTGGAATGGGGGAGGCAGCTCAGGGGTCCCTATGGAAGATCACTGTGCATGGAAGTAGATAGGCTTGACTTTTCCAGACAGGATCTTGGGAACCTGCACAGAGATGATCTCAGCCATCATTTCCGGGTAGTCCACGCTCACCATGTGTGCCTTGATTAACAGGTCAAATGTAAACTGGTGCAGGTCCTTGGCAATCTGGGGAAGGAAGAGAGGGGGTTAAATGAGTCCCTGTGTAGCATTTTCACCGGAAAGATATGGAGCAGAGGTTCTACCTTTCCTGGGAAAGGGAGCCTGGATGATACTATCCAGCACCCTGTCCAACTGCATCTGAACTCTCCCCATGATAGGGCTGCCCTGACCCTGGGGAGATTGTTCCAGGGAATGATCATTCTCACTGTAAAGTTTCTTTCTTATAGTTTCTTACGTGTATAGATGGACATTTCCCTGTCCTCTCTCACCGGGTGCACGGAGTCCAGGACCTTGGTGAGCTGGTAAAACCGCCGGGAGCAGGAGGTGGGGTTCTTCCTCTTGCAGGCGATGATACGGTCAAGTTCCTTAATGTAATTCATGCGGAGCTCATCGAAGAGCTTCTGGTTCTTCAGGCCATCCACTGGAACTGGGTGGGATGGGAAGGAAACAGTGAGAGGAGCCCAGAGAGCAGGGAACAGGAGAGCAGGAGGAAGGCTGAAGCAGGGAACTTCCCAGCTCCCCCTGGGAGGTGAGAGTCCAGGCACAGGGAAAGCACCAGACACCTCAAGGGTGATGCAGTGGCAGGTACTGGAGTTCTGTGGAGGAAAGGGTGTGGGTACTTACTAACACTGAAGAAAAGGAGAGCCTTCATACAGAGGAACTCCTGGGGCGTGATCTGAAGCCACCCGAACTCCTGGGAGAGGTGCCTCATCCTGACACACTGGCTGTACATCCTGGATTTGTGCATGCGGTACCTGGCAGGGCAAGATGGGCATGGATGGCACCGAGACCAAAGTGCAGCTGTGTGAGGGGGGAGGACACGCTCCTCGACCCAGCAACCCCCTCGCCTGGCCCGCCCCCGCTGCCAAGGGCCCAAGCTCTGTCCCAGCAATGCCGCAGGCAGAACAGGAACATTCTCCAAAATGCCTGTGTGCAACCAACCCTCTTTGGAAACAGATGGAACTGGGGACTTGCAGGGTTCATCCGAGGAGTGACTGCAACGATTCCCCAAACATGTCTATCCGTGAGGGATCTAAGACCAAGCTGGAGCTCCCAGGGAGGTGTGGGTTTGCCTCGTGCTGTGCTTAGTTATTAGGTTCAGGCTCTTCTACCTCAGTCCCAGCAAACCCTCCCCAGCTCTAAGCTGATGGTACATCAGGGAGAGCCCAACAGGACTTTATAATACACATTATCTCTGTTTCTGTTCTCTCCAGCTGCCCAACAGAGCTGGAAACTGGAACTCAAACCCTTTAAGCAGAAAGACAGGTCCATACGGAGCAGCTTTTCATCCCACAGCAGCTCCAGCTGCCCTGGTGGGAGTCAGCCCATGGCAAGGCTGGGGGAGCGGGGTGAAGGACCAGGAGAGGCATCACAGTGCCCTCCCCACTGCTGGAGGTCACCACGGGTGGCTGGAGTAGGGAACAGGACCCGCCACACTGGGCTGGGCAGGTAAAAACACGAGATGCTCAGTTTGTCACCTGGTCTGACCCAAAGCCTGGCTTAGGCTGGTGTTGTTTCACACTTACTCATTGAAGACCAGGTCTGGAGCAAAGTAAAGCATTCTGGAATTGACGTTGGTGAAGGATCTCCACCCCATAGCAAACACCATGAGGCCCATCCAAGAGTACTGGATTATTGACATCTGGTCGTCCACATGCAGGTTGCGAAATCCTAGTAAACAATGAGGGAGGGATGTTACGAATTAATGTTGTGTTCCTGCAGTTCCCAGGACCGTTTCCATGCAGACTCCAGCTCTCCTGCAGTGCTCCTCTGGGACAAGGTGGTCAGTTCACAGCCCAAGCTCAGCACGTCCCGGGACATGCAGCAGTGACACAGCTGCAGGGCTGGCAGCCCAGGGCTCTGACCCTGACTGGGAATCAGGGACAGTCAAGCAGAACCTGCCCCTGGAAGGGGAGAAAGGGGACTTTGGACACAAGGAGGGGAGAAAGTCCCATTAGGACTTCACCAAATTTAAGTAGCTGGATTTTAATGTGATGCTCAGAGCCAGCAGGTAACCCCGAGGCCTCATCCCATGGCCACAGACACTCTGGTTTCTGTCCAATACACACTGCATGGATCTAATGACTGTGGAAATGAGCACAGAAACCTCGTCTGCATTGCAAGAGAGACAAAAATAGCAACTAAATTCAAATTTCCTATGCCCAGATGGCAGTTCAGAGTTAAATCCCAGGCATGTTTACACCACCTCCAACACTGTTTTTTTCCAGACACTTGTAAATAGGCAAATATAATTGAGTTTAAAGACAATTATACATTTTTTGAATCAAATATTAAAGCAATTTAACATCTCCTGTGTATAACTACAATCCATTGAGGCAAGGCTCTCTGTGGCTTAGGGAGCTCTCAAAGCCAAACAGCAGGGGAATGAATCTTGCCCAGATGCTGCCCTGGCACAGCGGGCACTGGCCCCGGGGGTCAGTGGGGCAGCAGCTGGCACAGCCACACACCAAGGGGTCAGCATCAGGTGCAGTTCAGGAGAGTAAAACCCTTTCTTAATGAGGTGGTTAAGATGGAAAATGTTTTCCAAAGCACTCTTCCTTTCCATCAGCCCTACTGCAGGGCCTCAGCCCCAGGGTGGCTTCGGTGGTGTCTCTGTGTCTGATCTTGATGGTTGGCATACATAAGCCAAAGAGAAAGCACAATTTGTCCCTGGTTTTACAAGCCAAGTGACTTAAAAATATTAGAAACAGAATGGGCTACTGTGCATTTAAGGGTATTCAGACCAACATCCCCCTGGCATCACCAGTCCAGGGGGCTGCTAAACTCCTGGGAACATCAGACACCTGACCACAGTTCATCACCAGGGTCTGACATAGAGTGGTAAACTCAGTGTGTCTTGGTCTCCTCCTTTTGCTGTGTCACCCTGCACATGAGGAGTGGGGTCCCTCTTCTCTGCAGTGTTCCCTGGAGAGTGAGGCTGGGATGGGGAAGGCATTAGGAACCAGCCCCACACCCCAGTCTCAGAGATGCTCAGAGGTGAGCTGGATCCTGCTGTGCCCAGAGTGAGTTCAGCCCTCTGCAATCCCACTCACTCGGTTGCAGGATTACAATGTGGAACAGGCAGTGTGTCACCACCCAGTGACCCTGCACAGACCTGGTTCAGTGAACTCATCTGTCATTGGGATGCTCCATTTACTGCACCTGCTGACTGGCATCTAGAAAATTCCTAGCCTGTAGCACCACTCCAAAGGAATCGTAAATATATCCCACCAGGCCATCGCCCAGGCAACCCAAGTGACTGCCAGGAAAGAGCCCTTTGGGATCCTGCATTGCTCTTCTGCCATATTCCAGTTAATTAGCTGGTGGAATTTACCCTTTTCACCACTTCAGGTGGGTCATGGGACAGGGCTAATACTTGTTTAGAGGGGAATTCTGCAGGGCTGGAGGACACAGCCCGGAGCTGGGAGAGGGGGAGGACAGCAGGACTCTGAGCAGCAGCAGCAGCCCCCCCGGGGGCGAGTGCCCCGTGCCCACCTGGTAGCCCGGGCCGGGGGCTGTCGCAAGGCAAAGCACAAGTTCTGATATCCTCCATCACCCCCAGCCCCCCAGACAACCCCCAGTGCTGTGGCTGCTGCCTGGGGAGGGGACACTCACAGTGCCCACGGAGCCCTCCCCCAGGAGCTGTGTGACGGTGGCACAGGGGCTGCAGACCACTTCCTTTGCACCCTGCCAATGCAGATGGGGGCTTTGGAACAGGAAAAGGAGGGGATTTGTTTGTTTTCCTCCTCACCTGGCAGGGCCTTCGCCCATTTGACGACGTAGACCAGCTGCCGCTCCCCAAGCTCGTTCAGGCTGGTCAGCAGGTTGGAGAAGGAGTCTGGCTGGCTGTTGTCGTGGCCAGCACACACCACACCGGGCTCGATGGCCTCCAGGACGTTGAGGAAGATGGGCTGGCACTCGTAGCCATCGATGCGTGTCATCACCAGCTTGGGAGCTTGCTCCTCCGTGGGGCTGGATGAGCTGCCTGCCTCCACCTCATCCTGTGTCTTCAGGTTACCCAGTTTCTTCAGCTTGCGGGCTGTGGGGAGTACACGGTTTAGTGTGAGACTTAAAAATTAAAAGAAAAAAAAAAGGTTGAGGCTTCTTGGCTCCACTTATAGTTATGAGGAAAGGAAAAGTGATGACCAGCAGCAGCTCCTCCCTTAGTGGACGTTGCCCAAGGAGTGCCCCAGCATTGCAGCCCTCACCTAAGGACAAGGGGATCACACACCGTGCGACAAAATCCATGTCCTTGTTAATGTAACATGGAAAAGAACCAGCATCATTTACATCCTCAGCCATGACTGGTCTCCAACTCCCACATAAACACAGAGATCATCCAGGGAAAAGTGAGAAGAGGTGACTGACTCAACTGCTCACAAGAACATAAACTCAGCACATGATCATGTTCTAGGGAAAAAAGCGACTGCACTTGGATACCCAAGTGGGATTGTTCCATTCCAGGCCAAACTGAAAGTGGGATGCAACTAAGATAAAAGCCTTCTCTTTGCAACACCTGCTCCCCCACATCCAGGCTCTCCCAGATATCGCACATATATTATGGAAAACACATTTCAGAAGCCAGTAGGCAATTCCAGGGCCTGCAACCATGGGGAGCAGACCTGGGCAGAGGTGGCCTCACTCTGCTTCATGAGCCCCATAAGCGACTGTGCCCATGGCACCATGACAAAGTGTTCCTCCCACACAGCTGGCTCTTAACCACAGCTGCTGGTCTGCCTGCAAGGCACATCCATGCTCCAGAGGCAATGCCAGAGCCCTCGGAGAGTTTGTGTTCCCCTCACTGATACCTGTGTGACAGTGCTTGGCATAGGTGGGCTGCTACTGCCACCCCTCACCAACTCCAAACCCTCACGAATTAGAGAACAAAAGCCCATGGCTTCCTTCAAGCAGGGAATACAACATCAAACCAGTTGTCCTGGGGGGGGGTTGGCTCTTTCATTACATGATACTTATCTTGAATTTCCTTTCAGCTGTAATTAGAAAAATAAGCAGCGAGACATAAAAATGTCAAGTCAAAGTGCAGCCCTGTAAATCAACTGCAAACATTGATCTCTAAGCACTGTACTCTAGATGATCTGGTGTATGGGCAATGAAGACAGGTTGCTCTGTAAAAAGGGAGGAGACATGAGTAACAAAAATAAAGGAGTGCGAGAGGAAGACAGGGCAGCGTGACGGCCTCCGGCCATCGCCCGCTCGGGTGGCAGGGCCCTGTCTCTCACCCCTCCTGAAGTCACAGCACTGCCCAGGCCACCAGTGACCCATGTCCCCAAGTGCCACATCCACATGGCTGTTAAATCCCCCCAGCATGCCACTGCTGCCCTGGGCAGCTTTGCCAGGGCTGGACAACCCTTTGGGTTTAGAAACAACCAGTGCCCTGGGTCCTGGGTGTGAATGGAGCCAAACCCACATGTATAAGATACACATATGGTTTGTTTAAATGTGGGGGTTTTCCTTAAGATTTAATTATCTAGTGCTAAAAAATCCTGAGTGAAGTAAGAAGAGAGCAAGGACCAACCGTGCTGGCTCTGAGATTGCAGCCACAAACCAGCCCCCTCTGTGCTAGGGTGTGATAACTGCGCTGCTGGGGTTTGGGCATTCCAGGAGCAGCTGTCCCACAGCTCACTGAAATACAGATGCTCCCTGGTGAAAAAAAGTTTCAGAGGAAAAGACTGGTTTATACTCAGCACCTGCGCCAAACCTCTTTGTGGTGGTAGCTCCCACTCAGCAGCTACCAGGAACAAAAACAGAAATAGAAAAATAGGAATTGAAGGCATCTGTAATGCTTTTTTCCTAGGATGAGCTAAGCTGGGTAGAACTATACACTGCATTTCTTCAACCCAAGGTGGGAGGAACCCTGTAACAGGGGCTGCTCCTGCTCGGCTGCCACCAGGGACAGGGGACAGCAGCACCCAGGAGCCTCAAGGTGCAGCTGCAGCACAGCATTGCCCCAAACCCCCTGCAGCACCAATGTGATCTGGCTTGGGGGTCACCAGGCAACTACCGTGTGGACTTGGAAAAAAGCTTAAAGGACACAATTACATGGTGTCACAATAAAATATTCACCAGTGCAAGAACCCCCGGGGAGCACAGTTCGAACAACTGCCCTCCTGGTAGGCACTTCTGAAGCCCTGAGGGAGGAGCACTCTGGGCTCCAGGACCAATTTTTCGTGAATGACAGGACTCAAGCAAGTTCTGGGGACTTGGAAGAAGCTGCTTTTGCACTGACAGTAGTGGAGACATCCTGCCCCTGGCAGCACATGCTGAGCTCAGCTGCAGGCAGGACACAGAGGAGCTGAACAGAACTTGACTTATATCCTGTTCTTTGAAGTTTTTATGAACTTCAGTGTGTGGCTTGTCAAAACCTGAACCTGTCAAGCTATCAGTCTTATCTGACACAATAATTTTAGTTGATAATTACAACACTGTTGGTGCAGCAGACACGTTTAAGAGATCTGAGTCAATCAGGCCCATGTGAATGAAAAGAACTCAAAGGATATAAAATCAGACAGCTGAATGATTGCAACCCCCCAATGACACATCTCAAAGGCAAGTATAAGTGTTGAACATCAGACAGGTTTGTTGCTTACAAGGCTGGCTTACGGCTTTCTGCTAGTAAATGTCTACATTCATCCCCAAACCAGAATTAACCATTTTCCCTCAACCAGTCTGTACAGCAATGCATGGATGGGAAAATAAGGATGAACACAAAGGACTGATCACTGAACAGACAGACCGAGGTCTGCAGAGAAGTGCTGACAGATGTTGGCAAACTGCAGGAGCCATGAGAACACTGAAGATGTGACAACACACCTTGGAGCAAGGAGGTAAGGAATGTCACCCAGGTGGCTGTGCAGAAGGCAAAAGGGTTATTGAGTCACAGCCAACAAATACGCACTGCAGGGAGAGAAATTCAATAAAACTCGGTTTTTCAACTGAGCAAACAAGACTGTAATAAAGATCCAATTGCTGGAAATTAAGGGCAGATGATGAAAAAAAGGTACATCCAACACAACACTGATCATAATTAACTACTGCAATGGCTCTGCAAAACTCGTGTCAGATTACCCCTGGCTGGAATGGCTCACATCAACACCCCCTGTGTGTGTGAGATGGGAGCCCTGCTCTGCCCCCAGCAGCTGGACCTGAATTAGGGCTAAACACAACTGTGCCTCAAGCTTGGGCTTTCACAACCTTTCGGCTGTTACCACAGGAGATTTCCAGCCCTACCACCAACAAAATTAATGGAATTTCATGTGTTTGGGAGATTTTGTCCCAAGCCAGGACCCACAGGGCACAGTGGCCAGTCTGGAGATGCCCTGATGTCCTACAGCACGGGCAGCTGCCAGCTCTGGCTGCAGGCACAGGCGCTTGGGGCATCCCACGGGAACAGCCCCCGGCACCTCACACGGGGGCTGGCAGGATCCCTGCAGCCACGTCCATACAGGGACACTTCCCCGGAGCAGGGGCTGGCAGGATCCCTGCAGCACCTGCCCTGGCAGCAGGCACAGGGTGGTGGGTGGGTAGGCACAGCCAGCACACCAGCAGGACCAAGCACACAGAAATTGCATTATCACTGGGGGTTTTTTTCTTTTTTTTTATTTTGGTGGTTTGGGTTTTTTTCATCTTTTCCCTCTGCACACTGTCATTCAGGAGAGAAGATCCTGTTTAATGGATTCCAGCTTGCAGGTCACAGTGATCTCAAGTAATAATGAAGTGCTTCAAGATGTTGTCATCCTGTGCCAGAGCAGAGCCGGCAGAAGGCATTCGGTGTGTCACCTCCTCCTCCTCCTCCCCCGCCGTGAGAGCCGCAGGGCTGCCAGGCTGTACCCCAACAGCGACGGTAATTAACCAGCGGTTAAAAACAACTGCTTGGAGCCTGGGAGCAATTTCAAATGCTCTGCCTCCACCGTGGGAGACGCTACTGTGGGCAATCACAAGCCTGCCTGTTTGTAACAATTGCCTTTATACCGACATCCAAACCAAATGTAAAACAGACCAGGCAGAACAGGTCAGGGTGACCCAAAGAGCTGAAGGAAAAAGAAGGGGGAGTGTGTTCATGTTAGCATTAATTTTGTCAGTGTGTCCTGCAGAAGAAGGTTACACTGATGTATGTTTTCTCCTACTTAAGGAAACTTCACCAGGAAAAAGCACTTAAAAATAAGCTAAAAACTGGGGATTAGGACTGCATTACCTTTCGGGACCATTGGGAAGAAACAAAACTAAACCCTCTGCTCGTTGGTGAGCCACAAATCAGAACCACTTCAGTAACAAGTCCTTCAAGACAGCGTTGTGGCAGCCCAGCAGCCCCGGGAGACTCAGTGCATCCCAGCAGTGGGGTCAGGATTTAACCCAAAACACTGGCACATCCGAGCAGCCTGGGCTCCCTACTGCCCACCCAAGCTGTGCTGGAGTTCCTCCCCATAACACTCCTCAATCCAGGGCTTCCCAGCAGGGAGCAGGTCCCTCAGTCCCCTTTTCCAGGGTATTTTCTTCCTCACCGTACATCACGGAATCACAGGATGGTTTGGGTGGAAAAGACCTTAAAGCTCATCTCATTCCACCCCCTGCCACGGGTAGGGACACCTTCCACTAGCCCAGGTTGCTCCAAGCCCTGTCCAACCTGGCCTTGGACACTTCCAGGGTTGGGGCAGCCACAGCTTCTCTCACTGCCCTCACAGGGAAGGGTTTCATCAAATCAGCTCAATGTGGAGCCACCCACTGTAGTTTCCAGATTTTGCACAGAAAACCTCAGATTTTGGATATGGCCACTCTGTCAGGTTTTGGTAGGGCTACAGGTTTGGGAACAGAGACAAACTGCAACAAGGACCTTCACCAGGGACACAGGCACGGCTTCCATCCAGCGAAGGAAAGCACCGGGGCTGTAATTTCACCAAGAAATTGCTCTTTTCTGCTGGGAAAAATCCCATCAAAAGAGGGGAATGCTCTGCTCTGAGGTTCCAGCAGTGAGAACCAGCTCACTTGGCTGTTTACATTTTTTCAGATTAACAACATTAGAAATCAGAGAAAAGAATGCTTTCTGAAATGCAAACAGAAATTAGCGAAATCCACAGTTCTGGTGTTAGAACCCTGCAAATGCTTCCTGAAGCTCATCGTGCTCCATCAGCCTCATTTTGCAGCCATTTACTGATTGCTCACACACTAAGTGATGTGCAGGGACCCGGGAGGGGACCCTGACCATACCTCCGAGCGTCATCCCGGCCTCGTAGCACTTCCGCAGGCGGCAGGACGGGCAGTTTTTCCTTCGGAACTTGTCGATGGTGCAGTCATTCCGGCTGGCACACAGGTACTTCTGTTTGCCTAAAACACCAGAGAAACAGAACATGGGTGCTGGGTACTGGTGGGAGAACTGCCTTGGGCTTTTTCGGTATCACCAGGGGCAGTGGCATGAGGAGAAGAGAGGGAGAGGGACGGGAAGAGGAGGAGAAGAGGAGAAGGAGGAGGAGGAGGAGAAGGAGGAGAAGGAAGAGAAGGAGGAGAAGACCACAGCAGTGCTGGTTTCCCAGTGCACTCTCTAGAAACAAACTTATGTTGGAAGTCAGTATCTTTTGGGAAAACAGTACAGTTCTGCCTTTGGTGCTGCAGGAGTGGTTCATGGCCAGACGTTGCACGAGCACTGGCTCCCCAAAATGCAGCTGGGTCACTGCTGTTCTACCACACTCCAGCACCTCTGCCCTGCACTGCTGCCCTTCACCCACACACAGCAGAGGCTTTTAGACCAAGATTTCCAAGGAGAAAAGTCCTTGAAGACTGAAAACCCAGGCACTCTGCACAGTGCAGCAAGCAGAGGCAAACAATAATGAGCAATTAAAAAGCACTGAAATATGGAGAGTTGGGTTCTCATTTTTTAAGTGTCATCCACCTATCTATTGCCTGGCTTTTGGTGGTTTTCTCCCAGAACACCAAACCCCACAGTTTGATCTCCTGCCCTGACACTCAACTACAGTTGGTTGAACACAGTTCCCAGACTCACTGTACAACTACAACTCTCTACAAGCCCTTTTGTGGCTGAATTACTTTTTGTGCCACCCATCAATACCAGTTGGGTCTGTTGGCTGCAGGTTACAGACACGGGGGTTGGGGAGCTGCTGCTCTACAGGTGAGTCTGATGCCACCCCATCCCCTGGGCTGTGCCCACAGCCAGCCAGGAGGGAACTGGGACCAGCGACTCCCTGCAAGGGGGACCTTGCACAGCCGTGGGTTTTGGGGGCTTGCAGAAAATTCGGAAGTTGCTTATTGTCGGACTAACCTGCACCTCAGCCTCAGCCTCCTTTCACTCAGAGAGCAGCCCATGCAGATCCAGACCACAGCTTTTTTGTTCACTGCCCCATTTGCTAGACAAGCCACAAATGAACTGTTCTTCCTGACTCATCACTTGTTTCATTGTCAAGTATAAACACATTTACTGGATCAGGATTTATCTGATGTTCTTCAGATCATTCCAAACTAAACCAGGCTCAGCTCATAAAAGACAGGTGCAGCTCACAGACCCATGGGCAATCCACATGGGAAACCAGCCCGTGGCCTTTATTATCATCATCCTGCAAGGGTTTGCTTTTTGTATTCCTGCAGGAAGAGCCCTTTGGAGTCATCAGAAATCTGCTAACAGGACGAGGCTGAATTCAACTCCTTAATGTAGGAGCTTTGACAAGAGATGCACCAATTTTGGTGCACAGATTTAATAATCCCCACCTCCCTCACACACCTCCACCACTGCTGCCCTCACTGGCACTGCCTGTGGCTTCCCCGGCGCCCTCCCGGGTCCCTCCGCTCCTGCCCGGCAGGACCAGCCACTCTGCCACCACAGACCCCCTGTGCAGGGGCACAGCAAAGCCCCCGTGGGGCTCAGCACCGGCCTCTCCTCTCACAGCACCCAAGGGCTGCACAAACACCCTTCGTTCAGCCTTCTCAGAACCATCCCCTTCAGAGTGGATCATCAGCCACCCCCACACCCCAGGGTGACATTCCTAAACCCTTTAACTCTGTCCTCAGAGCAGCTCTTCTCACCCCCTCCCCAGCTCATTTCCCATGTGAAGGACACCCAGGGAAACCTCAATGACACCTAAATGCAAAGGAGCACAAGCACCATCTTCCCTTTCAGTAGTTCATTGAGGAGGATGAGTAATAAACAACTTCAGCTGAAATTGGGTTACCTGGAGTTATTTTTGTGCCGGGGGCACTGAGCACTAGGCCACATTCCCTCCCCTCAACCTCTTCAGGTGCTCACATCAATCAGGGATGGGCACCCTACTTTCTGAGGTATGGAGAGCTGGAATGAGATTTGACTCCTGCCCTATGACAACAGTGCCTGTTGTTGGAATGCTCCAGAGGTCATCGAGCCACCACCAGTACAATAGGCTGAGCTCCAGCCCAGCCCACGGGGCCACCCCAGTGCCTGGCTGAGGCTGTATGGCTGCAGCGACCAGTGCTGCCCCAGGAGCACCCACATGGCCCCCCCAGCTCTCCCCTCAGCTCCTGTTCCAGCCCTGTCTCACCTCCCTAGTCTAAACTACAGCATTTTTTGCAACAATAATAGCTCAAAATCTTCCCAAAGGTCAGGCCTCTCCTGTGAAGGGCCTGAGCAGGTGGCACCACTGCTGCCTGAGCCCCCAGGGACACTCCAGGGTCAGGCACAGCTCACCCTGAATTCCCCTGTCCAGAAGCAGCGCCCACCAGCCCCAGCCCGTTCCTCATCCCTGGGATTTGAGCTGCATCCCAACACATGGGCTTCTCCCCCACCCTGCTCTGTCCCCCCAGGCACCCACAGGAGGGGAGCAGGGGGACGGATGAGATCTGGGAGTGGGGTCTAAGCTTTGCTCAGTGAGGCAGCCGTGCTGTTCCCCATCAGCTCCTCAGCAGCATTTGCCAGCCCTGGCACTGCTGGGAAGGGACATGGAGAGGGAGCCTCTCCCACCAGCCAGGAGCAGGTGGGTGCCCCAGTGCCCAGGTGACAAACTGAGGAGTCTGCAGGATGGCCATGCCTCGGCATGGGCTGGGAGCAGCACAGGCTGCGAGTTGCAGACAACAGCTCTTCCCACAGTCATGGTACAGGGACATTACTGGGTGGCCAGGGCAGCTTCCTGGTTCATGGAGGCTCTTTGGGGCAGGAGCCCATTCCCTGTTGCCTGAGCCTGCACAAGTGAGCCTGTTTGCTTTATGCTGTTCACCAGTAACAAAAAGGGAAACAAAAAGCCATGGCAGGTCGTGGGGCTGCTGCTGCTCCCTGTGAGGATGAGCTGCTCAGCTCACCCACCTCATCCTAATTCCTGGGGGTGCAGAGACTCCCCTCTTAACCACTAGGGAAGGAGCCACCATCTGTAAAAGCCCAGAGAACTGGGAAGGGTGGCTGGGACATAGATGGGTTCCTTCTGTATGAAGTAACTTCTCGCACACCTGTTTCTAATTTCCGGGTAATTCACTCTCCTCATTTCAGAACAACTGGAGACATTTGCAATCAGCTGTTCTTTATATGAAGACAAATGTGCTGGTTTTCCTTCTCTGAAGTTTAACTCTGAAAAGACTTTTTCACCTCCTTTTCTTCCCTGCAAACAACGGTTGCATTGTGTCACTGCAATGCAGAGGGTCTTGTTTTGCAAACCTGTACATACAGGTCCAAACCTTACATCCACTCTCCGGTGTTCTCCACTCTTTGCAAGGCCCATCTCCCAGCACTGGTAAGGTGTCTGCCCAGAGACCACAGCCCAGCTGAGGACACTGCAGATGTCACCCTGAGAAGTCCCTGCTCCTCCCCTGCAGCCCAGGTCATGTTTGACATGTACACAGGTGAGGAGCAAAGTCACAAAGGCACCCAGCATCCTCTGCCCTCCCAGACCAGCACAGGCACTGCAGGAGAGCCTCTGTTCCTCCGATGCCCTTGCAGTCTGTGGCACCCCACCAGGAACACGCTGCTGTGCCACTGCCCCCCTCGCTGGGAACAGCCCGTGCCACCACCTCAGGCCCATCCTGTGCCACCTCACCCCAGGCAGGAAGATTCTTGCGCCACCTCCCAGCCCCTCCCACCCATCCCCTGGGACCGCAGTGCACAGCCAGAGCCAAGGGGAAGAGGCACTTTCCAGCCTCGACTGAAAATAGTGATTTATGGAGGAGAGTTGCTCAATCCAGAGGAATTATCTAACTAACAGCCTGCAGGAGTTATCTAACTAACAGCCTGTTGCCACACGACCTGTTTTGCCCAGAATAACTTTTTCTTCTAGACAGCAAAGTAATCTGTGCAAACATCTGGAGCAAGATTTATGACTGTAAATGTGAAAACCCAGTAAATGCCTTTTGGAAGAGAGATATAAAACCCAGTAAATGCTTTTTGGAAGAGGGAGATCCTCGTATTTCAGGGCATAAACAGAATCCTAAGAGCTGGGGGATAAGGCCAAGCTTTCTGTGAAAGCGAATCCCCCAGGGCCTCATGTTACCACTGAAGCTCCAGTGCTCTCCTGGGAAACCTCTGGTCTTTGGGCTGACACCAGCAGGGCCATGCCCAGAGCTGAGCCCATGGGTTTGGTGCTGGTACCACTCCCCACAGGATGCCCCCATTAACAACCCAAGAGGGCTCAGCCACGAGGCTCCCGGGAGGCAGCACTAAGGCACTGCTGATGACTATTTTCTGAATAGTCCCCTCTATTTACCAGATGGCTACAGAGAGCATGGGGAAAGCATCCAGAGCTTCCTCAGATCTGTTCATCCCACTTTCTGCTCTCCCCATGGATTTTTAAGGCACATAACACCAAAACAGTCATGAGAAACACACCACTGAAGCAGGAGCATCGTGGTGCTGCAGCACCACCAAATCTGCAGAGCTGACTTGTTTGCATGTCAGATCAGCCCAAGAAGGAGGAGAAAGCATTTTGAAACGTGGCAACAGACTTTGCAAACATTCACTTTAACTTGATGTCATCTTGAAATCTGGCAAGATACTGCTGAGTTGGCCCAGTGACATCTCTCTGGTGCAAGGCTAATCCTCAGCAGGTCAGGACATAGAACACTAATCCATATGGAGACTGATGGAGGCAATCAGAGCAGCCTGCACAGCAGCCTGGCTGGGTGCCCACTCGGAAAATTGCCAAATACTGTGTTATTTTTTTCATTCAGCTCTCTGCTATTTAAAGGCAGCCCCATCAGGAACACACTCCAAGGCATCCCAGCCCTGCATTGCCAGGAATGTTGTGCAGAGGCAGTTCTGGGATGGCTCAGGTAGCCACCAGATCTCAGCAACCTCACAGGGGTGTGGAAGGTCTGCTACTCTCCAGGGGTGGATGCAGGGACAAGGACAGGACAGGGACAGGAAGTCCTGGGCTGCTAATTGAAACAGAAGCTGTTGTGTTTGAAGCATTTTTCTGCTTCAGGGGTAAGGGTGGCATCACGAGGACTGAACTCTGATGTCTTCAACCCACCAGCCAGCCTAACCATGCCGAGAGGTGCCCTGTCTACTCCTGCCTACTTGTGTCAAGAAAAGCGGCATCTGTGCTAAGGTGGGTGAGCTTTTGTTCACCAAACGAGGAGGAGGAGCCCTCTTTGTGGGCAGCAGAGGAGCAGCAGCCCAGCTGACCGGGCAGCCAGCCCCAGCCCTCTGGACCCTCCAGACCGTCTGTGCCAGGACCCCCAGGTGGGTGACAGCAAGGAAGAGCCCAGCTCTGGGCTCGGTCACAAAACAAGGGCAGGGGCAATCTGCAGGGTGTGCTTCAGTGCTGTCCTAGACACAGCCTGGACATCTTGAGAGAGTCCATGAATCAAGAGAGCCGGCAGAATGAGATCAGGAGAACAACCCTGCCTTTTCTGTTACCTCTTCCAGCATCTTTTTGGATGAATCAGTTGAACCTGAGATTCTGAAAACCCTCAAATCTATCAACCATTTCATCAAATCAGGGGTAAAAAAGCACTGCTCCTGCTGCAAACCCCTCAGTGTGTCCAAAGGGAAGAATCAGCCTCACAACTTTGTTTCTAAAATCTTTACCCTTTCTCTCCACCAGCGCATTTCTATAAAACCTCCTTAAATTTTGGGTCTTTTGACCATGGGACGACCTACTCAACACCAGGTCTCCTGACACCTGACAGGATGCACCTTTCTCAGAGGGGAAAAAGAGTTCTAGCACAGGAGCCAGCAGGGCTCATTGTGCTTTAAACTGGCTTGGAAGGGGGAAAGGGACAAAACCAGGCTCAGCAGTGATGAGCGATAGGATGGTGTGCCAAAGCTTGAGAAAATCAGCACTCATGGGATCCCTCAATCTGCCTCAAGAGGTATTGGCTACAATGCACCACACCTGAAATGTTTCTACACCACTGCAGCAGCATGAGGAACAGACAAGAGGAGCTCAGCAGCACGAGGAACAGACAGAGCTTTGGCCCAGTCCCAGAGATTTGACATCACTGGCATAAGCGAATCCTGGTGGGAAGAGCCCTGTGACTGGAGTGCCCTGTTGGATGGTTACAGGCTCTTCAGGAGGGATGGGCAGGGCAGAAGAGGCAGAGGGTGGCACTGTATGTAATGGAAGGGATAGAATGTGTGGAGCTCACAGTTGGGAGCCTCTGGGTAAGAATCAAGGCACAAACAAACAATGCCGAGGTCACCATGGGAGTCTGGTACAGACTTCCCAGCCAGGATGAATTATTCTTTGAGGAACTAAGGGACACTTCCAAATCAACTGCCCTTGTCCTAAGGGGGACTTCCAACTTGCCATAAATTAACTGGGAGCATCTCACAGTGGTACAACCCGGTCCAGAAGATTCCTAAAAAACCTGGATGACAACTTTATGGAACAGCTCCTAAGGGAGCTGACTCAGAGAAATGCCCTCCTGGATCTGCTGCCTGTCAACAGACAGGATCTCCTGAGAGAAGTAGAGGTTGGGGCCGTCTTGGCCACAGTGAGCATGAAGTGATCGAGTTTAAAATCTCTGTTGACAGAAAGAAAAGTGCCAGCAAAACCTCAACTCTGGACATGAGGAGAGCAGAATTCAGGCTTCTCAGGAAATTAGTACAGAAGGTACCCTGGGAAAATGTTTTTGCAGGTGCTGGGGTCCATCACTGCCAGCCACGTTTTAAACATCACCACCTCAGGGCACAAGAGCAGCAATTCCCAAATGCTGGAAGTCAAGCAGGCGAGGCAGAAGGCTGGCTTGGCTGAACAGGGATCTTCTCTCAGAGATAAGGCAAAAAAGGAAGTTGTGTGGCCAGGGGAAGCAAGGTCAAGTGACATGGGAAGAATACAGAGAAGCTGCTTGCCACTACAGGGAGAAAATCTGTGTGGCCAAAACTCAACTGGATTTGAAGCTGCCACAAATGTGGGGGACAATAAAAAGAATTTTTTCAAATATATTAATGGCAATAGGCAATATCATCACCTTTCCAGGATGAGGATGGTCACCTCCCACACAGGGACAGAGACAAGGCAGACATGTTTAATGCTTTCTTTGCCTTTGTCTTCAACATGGATGATGGACCAAGAGGGTTTCAGTGCCCTGAGCTGCAGGACCATGACTGTGAGAATGAGCAACTCCCAGTCGAGCCTGAAATTGTGCAGGATCTGCTGCTCCAGCTGGATGCCTACAAATCTCTGGGGCCTGATGGGATTCATCACAGAATCCTCAAAGAGCTTCTGATGTCATCACAAAACCTCTCTCAAAGATTTTTGAGTGGTCTTGGGAATCCAGGGAGGTCCCAGCTGACTGGAGGCTGAAGAACATTGTTCCAGTTTTCAAGAAGGGCAAGAAGGACCCTGGAAACTCCAGGCCTGTCAGTCTCACTTCAGTGCCTGGTAAAGTTATGGAGATTATTCCAGGAGGTGTTGAAAAACACCTGAAAGACAACACAGTAATTGGTCACAGCCACGACAGCTTCATGAGAGGAAAGTCCTGCTTATCAGACCTGGTTTCCTTCTATGACAAGGTGACCCGCCTGGCTGATCAAGGGAAGCCAGCTGATGGGATCTTTTTGGATTTCAGTAAAACTTTCGATACTGTGTCCCCCAGGATCCTTCTGGACAAACTGCTATTAAATATGCCTGAATGCCTGCCAGATAAGTTCAGTATTATGTTAGGAGAATATAATAAAAGAGAAACAATGTGTCCAGCTATTTCCCTCCCCTCCAAGGTGCTGTTTGTGCTGCTCCACTCCCAGCCCCCTGCTGCTCCCTCCATCAGCAGCTGCAGTTTGACACCAGCACCAGGAAGGTAACAGGTCCCACATCAGGAAAGTAACAGATTTCTTTTCTCATGGGGAAATGTTCTGATCTGTTGTTGTAAAGCCTCCAGGGGTGACCCAAGGTTTCCAGAGATGCATTTTATGGACTTTAAATCACGAGAATGCACTGAAATATCAGCTTTGAATACTGCTCCTCAGCTTTGAGAAGGAACGATCTGGCTGGACAGTCATCAGGCAGGAGTTCGGACAAAAACCTGCCCCTGCCTTGCATTCAATACCTATAATGGAGCCTGATTTATTGTCTTTCTGCCCCAAAAAAAGACTATCCACGTACCTCAGGGTAACATAAGATGAAAGCTTACACTCCAGCAGGTGCCTCTGCCCCTCCCTGCACACACACATGGCTCCAGGCCAAAGAGCTGTTCCCTGATTCCATCATGGCCAAACACTTTTAACCCTCTGCCATACTGCAAGGTTGAAGAACCAGGAAGAGGCATAAATACTATCTAAATGAATGATATAACACAATCAAGAAAGGGAACAACCCCACAGCACATGTCTGTGGAGCAGTGTGAGCAGCCCAGGCTGCCCCTCTGCCCCGTGGGCACCTCCAGCCCCTGTCACCCACAGGACAGAGCCCACACAGTGCCAGGGGACTGCAGCTCCAGCACCGAGCCACAGACAGTTTGTCTGACTGAGAGCCAAGACTCCACTTACTATAAATCAACAACAACTTGCTGACTTAAACAAGCATCTGTTATTTACTCTGGCTGCATAAGCCAACCCACTTGGCCTGACATAGACTGATGTGCAGCAGAGACAGATCTGCAAATGATTTACTTGGGAGAAATATGCCAAATGTATTAACTATTATTTGACCACCCTTTCTGGCAACAGGACACTGATGTCCCCTGTGGCACAGCTCCCATTCTTCCCTAAACCAGCACTGGCAAGTTGGCTTCTGGCACACTCCAAACTCAGGCAGGATAATGATAATTGATCTGGAAGCATCACTCTGACAACAGCAGGTGAGCACCCCCAGAGTGGGGATGCTCAGAGGGGAGAGGGTGGGCACACGGGGAGGTGCCAGTGAGACAGAAGCTCTGTCCCCATCACTGCTGCCAGCCAAGGACCACGGGGCCTCCCTCTCCCAGGGACACCACGGCTGGTGACACTGCTGCCAACAGCACACACCATGGAAATTGTGTTAGCACCAAGGAAGTGGTGCTTGTGCTGGTTCATCACTCCTGAAAGCAAGCCCAATGAGTGATTACAGGCACGCTGCATTGCTGGACAGTTAATCTTCCACAACAGAGACTCTCACTGCTGCCAAGGAACCACAACTCTGAACTGCAGGCAGAAACCAGACATTGCTGAGCCACAGCCCAAGGAAACAGCTGAGCTTGGTCCTTCTGCACGCTCTTTCCCGAGGAGAGATGGTGCAAAGACCTTGCTGTTGAGAGGAAACATTTGGGCTCACACATAGTGCTGGAGAGCCTGGAACTACAGAGCTGGCCACGAAGGAGGAGTTGCTCTCAGGGGCTGGGGAGAAGGATAACGGACCCCGAGGTCAGAGCACAGCTCCTCAAGGACAGACAGTTGTGCTGTTTTGCAGGCATTGACAAAAGTGACCCTCTGAAAGGGATGTAGGAGAGGAAAAGCCTTCCCCAGATTTGGAGTTGTGGGTCTGAGATCACAGGTGGGCTGATGGAAGCTTAAAGAACTCCAGAGAGTCAAGAGGAGAAGCAGGAACTGACTGCTCTGGGGACTCACTAGGTCATTTCAGATAATCATGGAATCACAGACGGGTTTGGGTTGGAAGGGACATTAAAGACCATCTTGTTCCACAACCCTGCCATGAGAAGTGACACCTTCCACTACACCGTTGCTCAATGCCACTGAAAAGAATAGTGTTTTGGCAAACTGGTTTGGCTACCTTTTGAGGGCAATCTGTAATGTGGAATGACAAACACAGGACAAAGAAATCAATTTATCCTGGATTTTTCTCCTTTCCTGGTTTAAGAGGTCTTAGAACCCCACCACACGCTGTGGCAGTGACCTTCCTCCTCTCTGCCCCATTACCTTCAGCTGCCCGTTTGAAGAAGACTTTGCAGCTCCCACACGTGAGGGCTCCGTAGTGGCACCCGGACGCTTCATCTCCACAGATCAGGCAGGTCTTCTGAGGTGGGAAGTAATAGTCAATGGGCAGGACGTGGTCACGGCCAGTCTCCAACCTGCAGCATAAAACAGAGAGAATAAGGGAAGGGTCAGCAAACGTGGTCAAGACAAGCTACAGGGAGCCTTGGAGAACCCTCGTGGCAAACCCAAAACTGAGGGGATGAACAAGCCAAGCACTGAGCAGCAAGCAGGTGAGCAAGGACTGAGCCAAACTTGGCTCTGACCATGCAGAGACCATGCCAGGTGCCCCTCCTGACACTGCCCCGGGTGCAGTGTGTGACAATGTGTGACAAACTGACAGCACAGCCTAGAGAGAGAAGGTGACTGAGACGGGCTGTTGCAGTGCCCACGGAATTCTGGCTTCAGTAAGGAAGCTCGTACACCAAACAAGGCAGATTGCAGTGCTGCCAACTGCCTAATGCCACATGAACCACCCAGCTGAGACATCCCGAGAGCCCACCCCCCTCCCCAAACAGCCCTCATGCTTTCCCCACCCACACACCCACATCCTCCCCTCTCGGCTGGCACCCTCCTGCTGACCCCCTCCCCACCCTGATCTGATCTCTTTGATCAAGTCCATGGAGAAGCTGCTTTTCCAGAGGACATGGCAGCAGCAGAGGGGCTTATCCAAACCAGGAGCCAGCATGCCCAGGCAGTCTGGGGAGCAGGAGCACATTGAGTTATTTGCTAAAACTTGCTTTTTCTCCAACCACTGGATGAGGCAATTAGCTTCTAACAGTCTGCAGGTCACTGCAACTTCTGAGTAAAAATTAGATCCCTTTTGGTTTCTGGCGTTGTTTGTTGCTTTCAGGTGGGTTCTGAGAAATCAGATTGCATCAACAGTGAATGTAACAAAGATGGGACTTCTTGGAAAAAACCTTTATATCCAGAAAAGCCCCACTTGGGCCCACAGTAAACCCCAAACCCACTGAAAACAGATTTTTCCTTAGATATTCTAATTCTGATAACAAGAGCTGCTTTATTAGTCTAGATTATCCATCCCCTCCTGTTCTGCTTCCTGAAAGACATAAATTAAACTGAGGAGAGAGAGGTTTTAAATGGTTTTTATATGAGCTGGGATGCTCAACTCCAACCCAAGACCAGGCTATTTCCAGAGGACCAGTGCAGTGTGTCTGTCACAGCGGGCAGGGCTCTTTGCCAAAGGACAGCTCTTTTCCAAGCCCCGGACAGCTCATCTCCAAGCCCCTCACACCTTGGGATTAAAGCACAACAGGGGACAGCCACTGGTGATCTCAGTCTGCAGGGTCACCTTGCTCTGACCTTGCTGCCTGTCTGTCCCCCCGCAGTGCTGCTCCCTCCTTTCCCTCCCTGGGAGCTGTGCAGATCCCACCTCAGTTGCAGGTCAGTAACTGGAGCAGCAATTTCACCCTCAGTGCTTAAGGCAGAAACCTTTTGAGTGATTTCTCATCTCTTTGGCAGCAGCAATCAGAAACTTGTCTGTAGATGCTGCTCAACCACCATTTCCCAACCATCTCCATTTCCAAGACTTTTCTTGAATTACTGATTAAATGAAGACGCAATTGGCTGCACTGTGACTGCCACAGTCTAGTCCTGATGCAAGCAACGTCTCCCTGTCTCAGCCTCCCTGGCATACTGCCCATCCTCCTGGTATGATCCCACCACCCCGTCCCAGGGCACCCCCGCACCCTCCCACACCACCACCCTGTGCCACAGAGCCCTGGCACTCAGTGTGAGGGGCTGCTGGGGAGCAGACCCTACTGAGGAATACCAGCAGCACATAAAAAAGCTTGGCTAAAAATGTCTTATTTCCTCAGCATGTTTTAGATTCCCACAGAACCAGACCTTTCTGCTAAAGACTCAACACCTCTCTTTTCCCCGCTGTGCACTCAGAAATCTGACAGTGCATATTTCCCTGTTTCCATAAGGCTTCCATGCTCTCTTCCCCATGCTCAGCACTGTGTGTGCCACAAGCAGCAGGGCTTCTCACAGCAGCTGTCCAGACGACAGACACAGGACCCCCCAGAACACCCTGGGATTTTTGAGGATTAATTATCTAAAACTGAAAGCAGGTTCAAAATTGAGTGGCTTCTGAAACAGGTTTTAAAGAGCTGTTTCTGCACAGGAAGAGTTGTGCAAGTACAGATACACCTTCCAGCAGGTGTGTATGGAGTGTGCCCCTCGCGTGTGCCCGTGCCAGGGGTGGGGCTGGGCAGGGCTCCCCACACTCCCTCTGTGCTCAGCCACCCTCGCCCCCGTTGCTGCCGAGGGATGGAGCCTGGAGGGCGCTGGCAGACATGGAAGGTAGTTCTGGGCCATGGGAGAGGCTCCTGTGGGTAAAGCTCCTGCCCGTGGGGTGTGGGCAGTCCGATCGGGGCAGGAGATGGTGTTCTGGCAGGCAGGGAGCGGCTCGGCCACGGGCCCTGCAGCACTGACACGACTCTCAGCTGCCTCCCACACCTTCCCCACTGGCAGCCACTGCCCAGAGCTGAACGACCTGCCCAGGGACGCCCTCGATTTTAAAATGATGCCAATTCGCCTTTTCTTTTTTATTTTTAGAGAGAGAATTGCAAGAAAAACATAATTTAAAATGTGGGCAACTCAGAGTGAGCTGTGCTAATGGTTGCCTTAACGATCCAGTTTCCAGTTTCCAAGAGACATTTCCAGGGCGTTGAGAATGTGCAGGTAATAAATAACACTGCAATGAGCCAAACAGGTGCCTGGGGAGGTTTCAGGGGCCGGCAGCACTCTGGGCAGAGCCTCGGGTGCCACCTGCCCCAGGGTGCCAGTCCCTTGCCCCCGCGTAGGGCACACGAGGGACAGGAGGCTGGCTCAGCAGCTGGCTTGCCACATTTCCTCCAGGTGGAAATATGTACCCTGTGGGTCCCTGCTGGCTGCATCCACCCCCCAGAGCCACAGGAGTGCTGAGGTGGAACCAAAACAAGCCCCGAGAGCGTTGGGGGGGGGTCCGATGCGTGGCGGTGCCAGCCCGGGCAGGGCGATAGCGCCCGGCACAGACACAACTGGGCCGCTGACAGCGGGCGGCGATGCCGGGCCCGGCACACGGCCCCAAGGCCAAGGCCAGGGCTCGCACAAAGGAGCTCGGCGGCTTTCGTGGCGGGAAAAAACAACCTCGATATCTCTCTTACAGCTGTAGGAAGAGCTTTACTGTTGTGTGAGAAAGCTTCTGTAAGGAAATGGAGAGTTTACTGAGCTCCTGCCATGTGCAAATGTTTCTGGGAGTAGAAACGATCATTTTGCAATGCAAGCATTTGTTTGTCATTAGTTAAATTTCACCAAGCAGCCACATTTCACAACACATCCAGAAAGCCAAGAGTGAGCACAGGTAAGAGAGGAGCCAACCACTTCTGACCCACAAAGGAAGTTTCCGTCTCAGCAACAGCCAGTACAGGGCACAACTGTCCCCTCGCCTGCGACTTCCCACCCCTAAGCCAGATCAGGACAAAGTGATGGCAGCTGCCATGCACCCTGGCACGTCTGGCACAGGAACCCTGGAGTACTGCATGCTAGTCCCACACCTTTCCCTCCGGGGAAAGGGGTATGCACCTTCATCACACTCTGTCCAAAACCTGCTTGTCCATCATGCTCAGGAGGACGCTGAGCCCAGAACTGAGCCAGCACTCACACGTGAACTCAGGTGACACAGAACCCTCTCCAGTCATTTCAACTGCTGTCAATTCTGAGACACTCTAATGTTGCCAGGAAGAAGTGCTGCCTTTAAACAGGCATTGCCTGTGCATGACATCCTCAAATGCAGTATTAAAACTAACTAACTTTCCCTCCTGCCTGGCCAAAGGTCTGTGACTCACACCGAGGGGCCAGACCCATGCCCAGCAAAGGGCACAACTGCTGACTTTGGGCACATCCTCATGTCCCGTTGCTCTGTCACTTGGCTGCCACTGGCTCCAGCCAGTGTTGAGCTGAGCCTGTGCCTGCAGCCACCACACCACGCTCACCCACATAACAAGGCCTGCAGGGAAACTCTAAAGCATCTCATCTGTTAAAATGCTGTGAGCAATTCAATCTATGCAGCCGTGGACACTGATTTTATTTCCTTTCTTCTAAATAGCATTGAGTGTGTTTCCAACCTGCCCGTGCCTTGTTTTCATGTGCGATGGCTGGCAGCAGAGGCACAACAGCATCTGAGAGCAGAGAAGGGCACAGTGTGAGCCACAGGCCTGGTAAACACACATGAGAACTGGATCAACTGAACCCTAAACCAGATTTAATAAAATAAATATTAGCAGATGACAACAGATTTTTCAAACATCCCAGCAATGGGGGCTGGCTGAAGGAAAATGCTTTGGAGAAGGAGAAGGTCCTTCCACCAACAGCTCTCAGGAGCAGGCTGGGCTCTCCAGTCCTGGCACTGCCTTCCAGCCTCGGGGGCACAAACAGCTTCCACAAGTACAGCTGCACAAATCCCTTCTCAAATCTCCAAATTAAACTCTGTTTTCTCTTTTCAAATACACTGTTTATTTGTTTTGACAGTTTATTTTTCACATGGCAGATCCCCACTGCAGCTGAAGTCTCCCCACCCCCAGTCCCTGGCTCTTTTCCCTCCTGTTCTCCTCTGCTGTGCACGAAGGCTGCTCCAGCCTGCTGCTGCATGGAGCCAGCCACTGTTTGTCCTGCTCTCAGGAGACAGCCCCAACCTGCCAACCTGACTGGCCAAGGCACTGCAGGCCCTCTGATGGGATGGATGGCAGAGCCACAGCATAACCCAGACCTCTGGGGAGGCTCCTCATTCAACACCAATCCTGGGCTCTCACCTTTCAGTCATCCCTAAGGAAGAAGCAGAAAAGGAGGTTATAAAGGTGAAAGGTGGCAAGTTTGCTACACCTGGAATGCAAAGCCCGGGTGAAGCCACCCTGCAGCCTCTGCACCTCACCAGTGGCTGTGGCAGAGGTGCTGCCTGCATTGGGGTACAGCTGAGATCAAGACTTCTGCCTCAAAACCTGAGCTCCAGCCAGGAGCTCAGGGAGCAGCTTAAATAAATGAGCTCAGAGAAGAGCTGATTTCCCCAGATGGAGCAGGTACCTACAAAAAGAGACAG